GCAAGAGAAAAAGAAAAGAAAAATATCATACAAGAAAGAAGCAATATGACTTCGGCCACAAATTGAGCCGGGGGAAAACAAGAAAAGAAAAATATCATACAAGAGAGAAGCAACATGACCTCGGCCACAAATTAAGCCGGGGGAAAAGCCTGGCGTGTGTCCTTACCTGAGGTCCTTCTCCATCTCAGCCGCCCTCGATTGCGACTTGGCAAGGGTGTCCTTCAGATTCTCTCGCTCCAGGTTGGCAGACTTCATCTTGCTCTGGTAGTCCTGGATCTTCCCTTTCATGTCGCTGACCTTGCCCTTCATGTCCCACGGGAGCCTGCGGGGGGCCCCCCCAACGCCGCCTACAGAGCCACACGATCGTCAGACAGAAGCCCACCCAGAATGCCCTTGGTTTTTCCTAACGTGCTCTTCACGTGTGACTCAGCTTAGTCTTGAACTCGGGTCCGAAACCGGACAGCGATTTGAAATTGGACCGGCAAATTGGTGCCGTTGTGAACTCCAGCTTCTTTCATCTTGGGCAGCTGGCTAAATTCAAGACTCTCCTTTCTCTGGTGAGCATTCGGGAAAGTCCTTCATGCCTTTGTCACATCCCGGCTCGATTACTGTAATGAACTTTACTTTGGAGTCAGCCGATCCTCCATGAAGCGTCTCCAGTGGCTCCAGAATGCTGCCGCTCGCCTCTCGACTGGTACTCGTAAGAGGGAGCACATCGCTCCTACTCTGGCATTCCTTCACTGGCTCCCGATACATTTTAGAGTTCGTTTGAAGATCCTCTTATTTGTTCTCCAATCTTGAAATGGCCTGGCCCCGCCCGAGCTCTCTGAGCTTCTACGCACCTGCCCAGATTTCTCAGGTGTGCGGACCAGACACTATGAGAAGGTACCGAGAACTAAGCTCAGAGGGGATGGAGCCTTTTCTGTTGCCGCTGCCTCTCTTTGGAATGACCTCCCGCTGAATGTTCCCATCTTTGAAAGTCATTTTAAAATTCATTTCGATTCTGTGGCTTTTGACTCAGCATGAGACCTGATTTTTAGTTTGACTGTTTTTGTGCTTTCTATTGTACTGGTTATTAATGACTTGTTTTATTGTTTGTTGTAGGAATGATTTTGCTGCATGTGCCGCACTTTGTATACAGCGGTGGTTGCTTTCAAGTGCTCTCGAAATACACTTGAGTTGAGCTTAATGCGACTGCCTTTACCTGCTTTTGGCTCCGAGGCGGCCACCCCTGCTGTCATTTTGCCTCCCTTTGCTACGGTCGACGCCACGGGCGCTTTGTGGACACCTGATGGGCAAGATCAAGCAGCAAAGTCAGCCAGAGCACCGGGTGAGCGTCAACTACCCACCTCCTCTTACCCCTGGAGGGGCCGACGGCCACCGTCGCGGCTCCGACACCTCGTATCGGCCTGGCTGCGGAGGGGACGAGGACAGAGGGGGAATTTCAATCACACAGTGGACTCCTTAAAGCAGGATGAAAATCGGTACACCCAAAATCACGGCTCGGGGAGCGCCCTTGGTGTAAAGTTCACCTTTCTGTGCAGTCAGGAAACAAAATTGCGTTTTTGCTCAATTTTAAAGGCAAATGTAAAAGTGTTTTAGGAAACTGCAACATTTGTCTTCTTTTCAAGAAACAAAGCCAGACGGGGGCAAATTACTAGCAGCCCGTCCTTCTACCGAAATGCACCTGCATTTAGGTCGGATCCTTTTATAGGTTAGCTTTGAACAGATCTGAAACCAATGAGTTTGAAACCTGCCGCTTTAAATTAAGACTGAACAAAATAATCTAACAGTATTTGCGACTGGGTGGCGAATGAGAGTGTCCGACGGGAATGAACTTACAAACGGGTGCCCTGGTTGCTGTGACGGGTGCACGTCCGGTGCCCAGGACAGTGGCAGCGGCAGGCGGCTTGACAGCCTCCGGCTCCTTCCGGGACTTCTTCTGCGGTGGTAAACATTTCAAATCAAACCTTTATTTAGGCATCCATCCATCCATCCATCCATCCAGACAGACAGACGTCATTGTGGGCAGCGCATCACTGCAATGGTATATGGTGGCTCACGATTGTACTGAGTTTGGGTGTGTTTTGTCGGAGATCATGCAAGCGAGCTTGGCGACACGCCGATTTTGGGGAAAATGGAACCAGTTGCACAATCACTCGAAAGTGTGAAAGGGATTACAACTGGAGCGGTTTCATAAAGTGCAAATTTACTGTGGCATTTAGCCTTGGAAGACTACATGAAAATGAGCCGGCGCATATTTGTCTTCAATTGATTACAATTGTATTGTTTGTTTCAACTGTTTGCGTCTTTCAACGTGTTGTTTTGACATGAAGCTCCGTTGAGTTGTTCGATTTTGAACAGCGCTCTGGCTCGGCTTCGGTTGCTTGCTCTCGAACTGAAACTAAATTACCTTGAGTACGAGTCAAGAGGGCTCAATTTCTTCATCCCGCGCGTGAAACGGAGAGAAAACGGCAAAGGTGTTTTACCTGAACAGGCTGCCCACCCGGAAAGTTCTCCGAGTTGGCGAGGACCCGCTTGCTCGCCATGACCGGCAGTCGAGACATGTCTCACTGGCTTGAAAGAACAGCCAAAACGTCGTCAAAACACCGCGGCTGCTAGGAAACTAAACCGAGTTAGAAACGTGAGCTTCGTGAGGACAAACAACTTTTCTCGAAGTTAAAATGTCCTGGTGCGGATTTGCCTGCCAAGTCTCCGGCGGTTAAAATTTTGAACGGCAACTGTTTGAATGGCGCCGCAAAATGGGCTGTCGTGATTGGCTGAGCCCGCATATGACCGCGCCTTCGCATTTTGTTTTTTTTTTGAGGACTTGTTTTTGTGTTCGGAATGCCCCGCGCGCCGAAGGAGCGCTGGTGGTCATTTTTATGTGTTCACTCTGAGTGGCCTCATTCAATTGACTAATGCATAGGTGTCAAACTCAGGTCCTGGAGGGCCGCTGTCCTGCATGTTTTCCAAGTCTCCCTGTTGCAACACACCTGATTCAAATGAACAGGTTCAATGTCAGGCTTCCGCAGAGCTTGCTGATGATCTGATCATTTGAATCAGGTGTGTTGCAACAGGGAGACTTGGAAAACATGCAGGGTAGCGGCCCTCCAGGACTTGAGTTTGACACCCCTGGACTAATGCCATCGAATTAGCATGTCTTTATGATGTTGAGCCTTTGATTGCGTCACTTTTTCTAAACAAAACAGTCCGTCGATATTATTAAGCTCGCAATCGCCGACCACGTGATCTGTTTGAACTTCATTTGGGTCACAAACACGACCGACGTCCAGCTTCAAAGTTTTAGCACTTTTGTTGCTAGATCAGGCGACTTTTCGGACGGAACTAGCAACCCCGCGTCCAAAAAGCAGCAAATGTTAACTACTTTTTAGCAAAAGTGACCCAAATTCTAAAATGCACCAATTTCTCCTCGAAGCGGCACAAAATACATTTTTATTTCCAGGTCAGAAAAACAACTGTCCAGCTGCAAAAAGTGTGTTGGAGTAAGTTTTTTTTTGTCCAAGAAAAGTTCAGAGTACAAAGCTGGTCAGAATGTCTCGAATAAACTCACAGTAGCGTTAACAATCTGAAAACTCTTAACTTAATGTAGCCACTGCAGTTGAAAATCACGCACAGCAAATAAAACCACATTAAGCTATGAAAAGTGAAGAACAAAACCATTTATGAAATCTGTTTGCCAACTTTATTCTCAAACAGTCCCACTGGGTGAGCATACAGTATGCTAAAGAGCAGCATGGCTCATTGCGTTAGCATCAGCCATAACTTGAATGGTAATTCATAATTTTTCCTATGCAGACAATGGATACACGCAGGAAAACGTGTGGCATCAAGTGAGTCGAGATGAACAAATATCGTAAATTGTATTCACTGTCACTTCACATTGCCAAATATTATCAGTTTGTTGATCATTCCAGTCCAAACATCATTTGAGTGAATATCACTAATATTTTTTTTTTTTGTTAAATTCCAATGCACAGAGGAAGTTTGTTATTGTGTCTTAAAAAAACTTAAAGGGGGTGGGGGGGAATGTTTTTCACAGGACATGCTTCCCTTTTACAGAAAACTCTTATGTACAGCATACTGCCATATAATAATAATAATGCCTTTAAGTTGATAATAGTGTGGATAACATTTGCAATACAGTTGTAATGAGAGTCATAGTATGCACGAAAAAGCTTTTTTTTTGTGTGTTTTAAGAAAAGATTAATAGTAACAGTACCTGTCAGCCATTTTGTCATACAATCATGAATTCCCCCAACAACTGGCTGCTGAAATGTTGCGACAGAGGGTCACTAATATTTCTATTAGTTAACAATAAAAACAAAAACAAAACACCGTTCCTTTCTTCACATTCACGCTCTCACCTTTGTCTGCCGGTACAAAAATACGAACATATTAAAAAAAAAAAAAAAAGTACAGGTGACAAACATACAGGGTTTCATCAAGTGCTTAGTTCGTGAGCCCTGCCCGGTTGAGTGCATTCGGCAAACGTCCCTCGACGGGCATTTTGAGCGGCCGGCGACAGGATTCTCGTCTTTCTCGACGCACGTGATGATGCCTCCCGCAAGGACGACAGACGCTACCCGAGCTAGCAACAGTCCCGTTGACAAGATTCAGGCATTCGTACACAAGAAGGTAGAGCAATTCAATTCCCCGGAGAAGAAGAAGAAGGAGACGTCGAGAACGCTCCGTTTGAATGTGTTGCTGCTCCGTTTGCCAAGTCAAAGTTCTTTACAGGTTTACAATGACCGTGACACAGGCGTCACCAACCTGTTACAAACGGAGAGCTGCTTCCGGCGCAACCAGATTGATAGGCACTTCCGAATGAACAAATTTGCTTGGGGTAAATCATCTAGTCGTTGCGCCGGCTAGGGTGTCTCCACAAACGCTATGGGTTGGGTCATGCAATACAATACAGACTGTTGAACTACACTATGTTTAAAAAACAAAAAAAATCAATGAATTCGTTTACAACAAACAAGTTAGTTCATTGTCAAGTGTCACATTTTTTTTAATGAATGGCATCGTACAAAAAAAAATTTACTCGGGACTTACTTATAGAACAGGCCCTCAGGCTACTCAAAGTGGTTGAGGGGGGGGGGGCATGTTGGTGACCCTTGAGAAGCTAGCAGGCTTTAACTCGATGAAATTATGTGGTTTGGTTGAATATTTTGCCATTTCTTTTGTGTGAATATATTACGTTTTTCTTCTCCTCTCTTTTAAATCATGTATGGGGTCTCCTTTGCTGATTCCCAAACAGCGTGCCGTGAGAGATTATCAGAGGTGTGGTGGAAATAGGCCATTTGTGTTCATTTTGACAGGCGGAACTCTTCCATGCGTGTGCTTCCATGAAATGGCAGAAGGCACAAGAAACCTGCCCATTGACATGTTGCCATTCGAAGAACGGATCAAGTCAGGCCGGCATTTCACACCAAGCACGAGAATGAAAATGAGCTTGTTGAGATTTCATTGTGTCGACTTTTGTGACATTCATATGGTGGGGTGTGCCGTGACATTTTTCACATGAAAAATGGCTGCCTTTGCTCAAAATCAGGTTGGGGGGGGAAACATCTCTGGGTCTGGTCTGGAACCCCCCCCCCCCCTTAAAAAGGGGGTTGACTCTGTATCACTTGTAGTATTAGATTTTGCAACAAGTCAGTCATGAATTCCGCCCCACCTCATAAGGTAGCGTCTGTATTTCGTCCAAACAAGGTGAAACCACAACTCGGAAAAGTCTCTCACCTCATGGGAGATGGAGAAGCCGCTTCTGATTTGGGCAAACAAACTGGACACCGCGGGCCGCACTCTGCCTTAAAGCTTCTTGGTCGGGGTTGTGAAAACACTGCGCGTCTTCAGATCGATCCCTTTGAGAGCCACACAGAAATACAGGTAGAAAAGCCAGTCCTCTTGGGGATTTTTTTTTTTTTTTTTTTTTTTTTTTAAACATGGAGTCAAGTCTGGTTTCCTATGAGTTCATGTGCTCCACCTGGATGGCGGACGTGGACACAGTGAGGCAGAGGTCTTTGTGGTCTGCCACGGTGCCCGGTTTGTACTGGATCTCGCCGGCCGCCACCGTCTTGTACTGGTGCAGATCGAAGGGGCACGGGATGACTCCCTCGCCGGGCTGCTGGTATCCGCCGGGGGGGCCGGCGTTGTTGGGGTTGGCCGGGCCCTGCAGCGAGCCCCCTCGACCCCGGCCCCTGCCGCGTCCGCGGCCCCGGCCGCCGGAGCGCTGCGTCTGTTCGGCCGCCGTGAGCGCGTCGGGGTTGTGCTTCCTCATATGTTTCATCAGGTACGTCTCCTGGGGGAACAAAAGCGTGAGGTCAGCGTGACGCTGATGGACGGGACGGCGTGAGACTCCCCAAAAATGTCGCCATGCCGTATCCGAAGCTCGGGTTTTAACTCAAACTTGGGCGACTGCTCGTAACAAGAAAAACTCGTAGGGCGGGACACTTGTTAGTCAGTTTCATCACTCTGACCCGTACCGAGGTGTAGGAGCGGTTGCACAGGCCGCAGGAGAACAGCTTGGCGTGTTTGACGGTGTGCGTGGACAGGTGCACCTCCAGGCTGGCGGCGTCCGTGTAACCGCGGTTGCAGTTGTGGCACTTGAACGGTTTGTCCTTGTTGTGCTGCCGGCGGTGAGACTGCAGCAAGAGAGAGTGTGGGTATCGCATTCAAAAAAGGGAAACGTGGATGATGGAAAAGGGACTTTTTTTCCTTTTCCATGTGTTGCACGTCTATAAATAATTATGTGTCTGGAGTCCCTGCCCACCCATCAAATGTGAAATTCAACAACCAAGTTGATCTAAAGGTCCCAAAATCCGTTTGTCGGAGAGCGCCTCTCAGTTTGGTCAGACTGCGATGGAACAGTGCAGATCATTTATCACCGAGCAATTGCACAAAATGTGGCTGCCATCACTCACCATGACAAACCCCTGCCGTACCCTGACCTTGGGAGTTCAACCTTCAATATTTCTTTGGGCTCTTTTGTTACATTCATACTGTCACCAATGTTCCTCCGGCAGCTACGTCCGGGGTGGTTGGCTACGGCCCCCGTGGATGTGAAATGTCTGAATAATACGTGCGCCTGTCGTCACTAGAATAGCACACTGTTTGAGATGATCTTACAAGGTTTACCTTTAACGCGCGCGTCTAAAATTGAGACAGTGCTCTCCTTGGCTTCGTCTGGTACATGTTTAGTGTGGTACACAGCAGGTCATCACACTGCACCGTTGACTATGTAAACAGGCTGACAAGAATGTGACTACAAGTCTGATGACACCTGCGATGCTAATAAGAGAACACATCTCGGTTTTCCCGATGGTCAAATTACACGGGTCAATGGCAAATTTTAATCAGAGCTGGCATCATGCAGCCTTAAATGTTTGTTCTTTTCAGCAACAACGTTGAACCACAATTCCAAAGTGATGTCCGATTGTCACCGGTTCATTTTCCTTCATCTTTCGTCGTCATGGCGCATGTCGGATTAAGGTTGTTTCTACGCCCCCCACTGCAAGGTTTTTCTTTCCTTCACAGAGGAGCACCAACAATTTGGTCCACGCGAGTGACTGAGTGGGTGGGCATATTCGCACTACCTGCAGGTTGGAGAGCTGAGTGAAAGCTTTCTCGCAGCCGGGATGGTTACACTTGTACGGCCGGTCACCCGTGTGAATCCTGAGAGACACACAGACACACACAGCACAAATCCTGAGTGGACTCATACGGCAAGAAGAACAACTTCCTGCGTCCTGCCGCTTTTTCTTTTCCCGCGGAGCCCACCGCCGACACCCCCCCGCGGGCGGCCCGGCCCGATCCTGTCCGGTCCAGTACCGTGTGTGCTGTTGCAGGTGGCTGAGCTGCCTGAAGGTTTTCTGGCAGTAGGTGCAGCTGTAGGGCTTGGCCCCGCTGTGGATGCGGATGTGCTGCGACAGGTAGCTGGAGTTGGCAAAGGACTTGGAGGGGGTGGAGGAAGGAGGCGGGGATGGACCCAGGGAGAAACAAACAAGGGAGAGAAAGAGAGAGAGAGAGAGAAAGAGCGAGAGATCTTTAGGCTGGAGCATGACCAAACTTCACAGTGAACTCAAGAGCAAATCATGCGTTCAAGTGATTTGGTTTGGGCTCATTTGCGCTATGTCCGACTTTGGAAAACACTGAAGTACAACAGAAGCAAGCACAGTCAGTCACGCTTCTCTCGCTCTCTCTCAGTCTCGGTCTCTCGGCCTCCGTTTGGAATCACTCCCTATGCACGAAAAATTGAAACCCACCAACGGGGAGGCGGTCCAAACCCACCTGCCATAGGTGAAGATTCAAAGGAGACTGAATAAGAACCGGACCTCTTCATAGTTTTGACCCTCCCATGCGCTTTCAAGCACAATCACAAAACATTTACACGAATCAAAACACTTTTTTGGAAGTGTTCCAGTGTGCTCGAAAACCAACCAAGATGCACAGCATGCTTACTTCAAGCAGTTTGTCGCTCCTAGTTGAAGTTTACTCTCAGCCTGACCCATAAAACAAAACTAAATGAAGTACTGTTTATTCGTATTTTTTTTTTAACCCAACAATGATCAATCAACTACACCATCTAATTTAATTGAATGCAAACCTGCGAGCTTGATGCTAACACGTGCTGCAAAACACCACCGACAGGCTAACTGGAATTCGCATCAATGTGATGAAAATGAGAAACCTTCACACAACTGCTCGTTTAACACACGCAATGCATAGAAAGAGAGCCTCACACATGACTCACGCACATCATCTTGATGCTTTGCAGGAACAGTAACGACGGTTGGAAAACTAAACCTCTAATGTGCCTATGAGAGCACAGCCTTGAATTTCACCACATTGCGACGTCACGATTGGGCTCATTCAAACACGAACAGTTTTTCCCCCCACAACTTGGCAGTAAGGTTGGGAAATGGCGCAAGTGGTACTCCGGTAGTGACCTGGCAGTAGCGGGGGCGGCGGCTCATCTGCATTGGACAGGACCGCCCCCTCCAAACAGGCCAACTCATTCATCTTTGGGTGATTTTGATGTAAGCATGCCCAAGACATGTCTGTTACCAATTGCCTCTGCTGAGTGGCCAAAGCAGATCGAAGAGGATTGCTTTCGGGATGATGAACAAAATGTTCCTTGAAAAAAGACAGCTGCATCTCCCCCGTCTCCCTCAACTCGCTCGCTCGGGGGCCTCATGCACAGCAAGGCGGGCACATGCATGGTGTGAAAAGGTCGGGTACCGTGTGTGCTGCTGCAGGTGGCTGAGCTGCCTGAAGGCTTTCTGGCAGTAGGTGCAGCTGTAGGGCTTGGCCCCGCTGTGGATGCGGATGTGCTGCGACAGGTAGCTGGAGTTGGCAAAGGACTTGGAGCAGTGGGGACACTTGTGGGGCTTGGCCTCCGTGTGCGACTTGGCGTGAATCTGCATGTCCGACTTGCTGAAGAACGTCACGGCGCACATGCGACACCTTGAAGGTCGAATGGGAGGAGGAGGTGAAAACTTTCACAGGCCGAACGCTTGATCATTGTTTTTCAGATGTGTGAGGCCACAACCTGTAGGATTTGGGGCCCTCTTTACTGGAGTGGTCGTCCTCATCGTTGGAGAGGTCGTAAGGATCGGCAGAATGATGCTGGAGAGGATAGAAAACTCTTGAGAAACATCGCAAGAGCGCCGAGGAACGGGTGAACGTAAAAAAGGCGAAATGTTTGGATGAAGGTCTTTTTTTTTTTTTTAAACCAGTTGCCATTGGTATAGTGAATCCATTGTATGCTGGTTGAATTTGGTTACTCTTAGTGGACCTGGATGATATCTGGTATCACTTGCAATGTGGTGTAAGTGATCTACTGATGTGACATGAGTGGAACTGATCTGACAGTGGCAATGTGGATGACAAAGGACCCCTCAAATTCACATTTTTTTGCCACTGTGGCAAGCCCCATAACAAGTGCCCAAGAGGGCCAGACGGCAAAACTACAGAGGCGTACCTGGCCCGTGGCGGCCAGGTGGGCCAGTATTAACGCATCGCTTCCTGGAGGGAGGACGCTGCTCGTTCTGCTCATCGTCTGCTTGCTCTTCCTGCCCCGCTTGCCCGGCGTCGCCATGACGGCGGGGGGTCCTGCAGTGTTGTTCTTCTTGTCTGCGGACACAAGCGTCAGCTCGCCATCTATCCCGGCGATATTCGATGCCGTCCTATCACCCAGCCCTGTGCCAGCCCGAAGAGAGAGAGAGAGAACCCTTGCCACAACTTCACCTGCGTTTGAGGGGTGCACGGCGGACACGATCATGGTGGTGGCCGAGTGAGGCCCGGCCACAAAAGACTGCGTGGAGGCGGTGGGCACCAGCGTGCCCGGGGGAGTGGTGATGACCAGGCCCGCTGGCAGCAGACCAAAACCAAAATTAGCTCAAACAACATGAAGTTCATGAAATACAACACAAGAAGTTCCATTTGACATTTAAAAAGGATCTCTTGCCATGACTAGCGAAATCACAATTGACGCGCGACAGTGTCAACTTGCGTTGATGTCAGGCAAGGAAGAACCTCCGGTGTTTACTTTTGCTACAGGGTGACTTTAGGGTTTGAATGACTTCAGAACATGTACGAACACTGTCACACAATCCCATATTTATTACCGGAGGTTCGATCAGTTGATTTAGATCCGGTAAGTTGTGATTAAGCCAGAGCAACGACGTCATTAACAGCAGTCATTTGACAATGTCTGAAAATAAGATAAGATATCCTTTAATTGTCCCACACTGGGGAAATTTACAGTCTACAGCAGCAAGATTGTGGGTAGAAAGAAGATTTAGAGCTGTGGTATAAGTATTCTACCGATGATCCCCTCAAATCATCTGAAAGAAATGGATGACATGAAGGTGCATGTGAAGCACAGGTTGTTGTTTTGTGTGTTTCTTTGTTTTCGGCACCTGGGGTTACTATTCTCACATTCCTTTGAGTGTGTATGGCTTTAAAAGGCGGGGCCAGGCCTGGTGAGTGATGTGGGTGTCAGCGAGTGAGCATGTAGTGCGGAGCTGAACAATGCGTCAATGTCAAATAGACATTGCAATGTAGTGGAATGCCATTTTCAAATGGCAAAGGTTCCATTTTCGGGGGAAAAAAAATGCATCATTTTGCTTGGCAACAGGCTTTTTTTTTAATGGATATTCTAATTGTTTATATAGCGACGAGATGAGGTCAGCATGAAACATGACAAGTTGCAGTGAAAAAGTCGCAGTGTTGTTGAAACTACTGTTCGTCTAATTCATGACTTACTGATGTTTAGACCGCACTTGTTTCGTCGAAATTGGTGAAGTTGTCATCGTGAACAATGAGTGAGGAATAAGTTTGCAACCCTAACTGAAGTACATCATATTAAGTCACTATCCATTTGCCTTTATTTTAGCGCAAGACTAACATAAGACAAAAACATTTATGTATAATACATATGAGATCGTTTATTGGAACATATGTATTGATTGTGTCTGTTAAAAAAAATACATGGGAAAAGGACCTCAAAATCGTTCCCCCCCCCCCCCCCGCATATTAAAAGTGCTATATTAGGGGAGGGGTTGAATCGCAATTGGATTGTCGGATTAAGTGATGAAGTGGATTTTTTTTGTTTTGATGTCAAGTTGGATGCCAGTCCAGTGTCGGTAATGAAGCGTCCGCTCACCTGCGGTCATGATTCCAGTGGAAGGAACGGGCACGACAGTGACGTTCTGCGATGTGTGCGACTGGTTGACGTGCGCGGCCATGGAAGCGCTTCCTCCTCCTGCTCCCGCCGAGCCGCTGCCCTCCTGTTTGGTGACCACCCGCAGCCCGGGCCCCGCTTCCGCTGGGCCGGGGATGGCGAGCACCGCCGTGGGGTAGTGCGGGGCGGCGGAGGATGCGGCCGAGTGCGGGAACGCCGGCGCGCCCGGCTTCTCTGTGCCGAGCTGCTCCTTGGTTTTGTTCAGGAACATGCCGCTCTCAATCTAGAAGGGGGGGGGGTGTTGGTGGGGACGAGCGGAGGGGTGGGGCGGCAGGGATGGCGGGAGAACAAGTGAGGGGCAGGGCATTGAGGGGCGATTGGAGGAAGCGGGCGAGGCAAAAACATGAGGATGAAGAATGGGAAGAGCAAGGAGGACACGGAGGAGAGAGAACAAAACAAACAAAACAAAAAGTGAGATGCAAAGAGAAGCAAACAAACAGAAGTGTGAGGAGAGCTCCGAGAAATGAGAGGAGAGGGACAGGTGTAGGGTTGCAAACTTCCAGGAATTTTCAAAGTTGGAAACCTTCCATGGCAATCATTGATGATTAACCAGCGATTCACCAAAGTGACGCCTGGCTGGAAATTGGGAAGTGAATGATCGTTTGGGGAAACTATATTTGAGCATATTGAGTGAAGGAGCAACGACACGCTGTTCTGGAATGTCCTTGCATCTGGGCAAGGAAAGCTTGCACGTCTGCGTGAGCGTCCACTTATGACGAATCCATATGTTCACATTTACACTTGATTGACACGACACCTCTCTACTACCCGCCCCCTCCTATAATTCCCATGGAAAGTTCCCAATTTGGAATATTTCCTCAATTCCCGCGCTGAGCTTCCCACGGAAATTTTACCGGCAATGTTCCACCCCTTTGCAACCCTAGACAGGAGTGGTCATGTGACTGGCGGAACCGTCAAAGAAGTCACATGAGCGACGCGAGGGTGGCGTGCGTGGCAGAGCGGAAGCGTCGGCATGGACATAAAACTGCAAGGAATCCTGGGACACGGAAGAAACATGCCACGACACCAGATGCATTCAAGACAAGGCCAACAATAAGGTTGTCTCTACCTGTCCTTGTACAGTGGGGACGGGAGACCAAAAGTAGGACGAGTTGAAATGGGATTCGTCCATTATTTCTGGAATTGAAAAGCAGCACACTTAGAAAACACCTCTACCCCTCCTCCTCGTACGTTCCAGAAGCCCCCTCAAGAGACGCAAATCCACAAAGTAGCAGCCATCCATTTGAGGATTTAGATTAAATAAAAGCTTGATGCATATGAGCATGTTTTGTTTTTAGGGATGAGTGAGAACCGATATTGGCCTTACTTTGGGCTATCGAGTGCTCGTAGAGGCTGTCGATAGGCAGCCACAAATACTTGGAGGAGGACGGGGGGTGAGGGGGGCATTGAATAAGGCGCTATAATGCGGCAGTTTCACATATCAGCAAATCATTATCTAGGTCAGAAAAAAAAGGTCTTTGTTCACAATGTTCACCGCACCAAGACTTGTGAAAATTAGAGGACTAGTTCCAGAGAGTTCAAATTCAAGTAATATGGAATACTTTCTTTTTTTTCTTAACACATCTCCTCAAAACTTGACACTTTCTACAACTCAGGGATCCTCTTCTCCAATTGGCTGACAACTTTCAGTTAAAAATTTGCACCGATAAGTTTCCATGGGAAGTCAAAATCACGGGGGCTTGTGTCCGAGTCAACGCATCAGAATGACTGTGATGTTTCAAACTGCGGCACGTGCATGCAAATCTTGATTTAAATTGCACAAATGGAACATTATATGTGAGAAGACCGGAGTGTCAGGAGTGGAATTGCTCACATAGTTTAGCAAATTTTTGCTATGGAGGATTTGAGAGCCGTTAAAAGTGCTTATTTCATTTTGCGTCGTTTTGGAAACGCCACAAAGATGGCAGTCGCTTGTCAGATTGCAAATAAAATTAAATGCGAAAACAAAAACATTTCAGACCTACTGCAAAACGGCGAAGGTGAACCGTGACAGGGCGAGGGACGATTGGACGGTTTATTTTCCTATATGCAAGTACAATGTTAATGTTGGTTACAACAGAATATGAACTATTAGGGCTGCAAGTAACAATTATTCAAATTAGAAATTCATCTAGTGATTATGTTTCTGATTAACCAATTAACTGTATTTTAAACAAATTAAACGCCATCCCTTCCCTCGAAAACAGGACATTATATCAAATTGACTGCAGAAAATGCACCAGCATAAATGATGATTCAGTTCATGGTTTTGTCCCAAATTATCCCTAAGAAAAAGTTTAATTATTCTTTTCCAAACAGCACACATTGCAAATGTCTCTCTTTCTCCTCGATTAATTTGATAATCGAGGAGTTGCCACCGTTGGTTAACTGTGGCCTGGTTTTGAACACTTGGGCCAAAATATTTTATAAATGTTGGACATTACTTGTAAGTAAAGTCATTTCATTTCCTTTAACAAATCAGGTAGAGTGACGTGAACGCATTATCATTTCTTTTTGTACTTAGTGTAGTATGTTGTTTGGTAACCACTAGACTAGACTACAAAGGCAGAGGGCTAAACTAACATGTCTGTTTTTGTCGACTCCAAATGAATCAAATTGATCGGCAGCCAGTTAAAAGTATGTGGAGCATTATTGGCTATTGTATGCAAATTAAACGTCTCCGGCCACGAGCTCATCAACAATTCGCACAAGCTGTGGAAATATTACAGACACCATTCTTATTGTAAGGAGGAAACCGGTTGATGAAGAGCTCGACGTCCCTGCCAAGAACTTTACAAAGAACCACGATGGTTAGCATGGCTAGGCTAAGCTAAGCTAATCAGGCTAACTTGCCCCCATCAATTTTCTGCTTTTGTTCGCTAAACCTACGCGGAGGCCGCGCCATCGGTGTGCTTTGCTGGCTAAACACAAACACCCTCGCTGGCTGTCTGGCTCACTTGGCTACTCGCTGCTCATCGCGGTGAGAGAACATAAAAAAAAGAGAAAAAAAAGTGTCGTATTAAAAAAAAAAAAAAAAAAAAAAAAAAAAAAGGGCAGGCAGGGGGAGAAAAAAACCGTCGACGCCGTCGTCGCCTCGCCAGGGAGACGAAAGCTTCATGCAGACTTCCGGCCGCTGGGACGACGACGGCGCTCGCAGACAGTCGGTTAACAATCGACAAATGACTCCGGAGGTAGTTACCGGTGAAATGGACTGGCCGTCGGCTCCGCGGAGGTTCCTCGGGTCGGGACAGTTGAGAAAGTTTATCCAAATCAGCCCCTCTTACCCCTCGAATATTCTTTTTTTCCCCCCCTCTTCGCTTTTTTTTCACCCTCCAGCTACCCGCCAGCGTCAAATTTGGACATAGAGGAACACGTGCAATTCCGCTGGGTTCTTTCAAAATAAACCAAATCATAATCATCTTAAAAATCTGAGGCAAATGAAAACATTTCAAGCCATTTATTGCAAACGTGAGACATTCTGTTTCCCAAGTACACACAGAAATCTTTTATCAAAAGTGTGATTTTGTGTGGTGGGGACCCCGATGACGCGTGAAGGGCACATTTGGGACTGTATTTTGATCAGAAAACAACCTAGTTCTTACACCAGGCAACTTGACAAAATGCGAACGTCAATACGGTGCCTTCCGGTAGATGAATAGTTGTCTCTCTCTTGATATATATCGCGACTGTGTGTGCGCGCGTCCGCATCAGTTTATGCTCTTGTGAATTTTATGGCACCTCTCTTTATTTCAAGACTACGTTTCCTTAAAATAAACCTAGCTTACGACAATAATTAAAACGTCAACAGGATGTCTTCTAGCCTGTGAATTGTTAGGCTATATAATGAGTGAGCTTTATGCAACAATAAAATAAATGAAAAAATTTTGAACAATTAAACAGTGCAGAAAAATATTTGGAGGCAAATTAGACTGGAGTGGTTCATATTTGACCTTCAGGGTCATAATTTGCTCATCACTGTCCTTGATTTAAAAAGAAAAAAAAGTTTAATTCAAAAGCTTAGTAACTTTATTGCAAAATTTCACAGGTGTCTCCCAGACAGCATGAAAGAACATCTGCTAAATATTAAAAATATATATATAATGGCACGCACACAAAATGAAAGTTTATTTTATTTTTTTTAGACTGAAGGTTTTGACAGTCAAACTTAAAATCTCAACCGCTCTGTAGCCCACTCACACTCTTGTTAAAGGCTAAAGATGCTAAATGCACAGAGCTCAGTGTAGCCCACATCATCTTAAAATGTTTCTGCCATCGTACAGGTCATCACACAATATGAGGTCCAACCAAAGCATCCAATGCACTTTTACAAAGGAATACAAATGTAAACAGACGGGCGTTTCAGCGCCCCCTTGGTTGTCCTGAGTGGAAGTTCAACTCACAGAAGATAAGAGACTGATTTGGAATTGTGACCCTTGGTCATTCCGAGTCGGACAGTTCGATGATCTCCAAGGGGTCGCACTGGGTGGCCACGTTAACCTGCCGAGAGAAGACCGCGTGAGCGGTGGGGTGAAGTGGCGCCCAAACGGGGCGGGGCGGTCCGTGTCTTACTTTGTACTTCTTGGGGGGTGGAGATTGTGAACTGCTGACCAGCTGGCAGTCGGACCGGTCGACGGCCCGCAGAGGAGAGGCGCAGATGACGCCCATGTCCAGCAGCACCTCCACCTCTCTGAAGGATTCCGCAGAAATGATCAAAATCAGAGCTTAATCACTTTGCAAAACTCATCTAAGTGTGACCTCCGAACAAAAAATATTGTAATTCGAGATGTGTTAATTTTTTATCAAGGTCTTCTTCCCATGTATTTTATTGTCTGCCCAAAAAGAAAAAGAAAGAAAAAAAAGTGCTCTGGTATCAAATTTCACCAGTTGTGAGGAAATCAATGATCTCATTTTATGACACGGCTAAAATTAAATTGCATTCAGATGATTTTGAGGTTTGAAAAAATGTACCGGAAGAGCGCATGTATGCCGGCTTAGTCACCTGTCGTTGGCGTCAATGTGATTCTGCTTTGGTGTAGCGTCCAGTATTTTCCTCTTGTGGCTCCTGCTCAGTCTGCAGTAGGGCGTTGATGAAAGTGGTGGCGAGGTGCCGTTGGTGATGGGCGAGTGACACGTCATCTCGAGCGTGAGAGGTAAGGGTGCCCCGTTGAAGGTAACTGCCGGGTCCGTGCCGCTGCTGGGGGAGCACCAGTCACTTGAATTGACACGCGACGCAGTTCCAAATTCACAAAGCAATAAACGGTGGGAGGGACTTCGGAACTATTCCATCTGGATTCCAGGATAATGTTTTTAAAAAATTGGGAAAAAACGAATGCAAATTTGACTCGACTTGATTTGCTCCCACCTCTGGTTGCTGGTGACCTGATTGACAGGATGTGTGGGCTCCTCTGATGCGGCGGCGGGGGCGTTCTCGTCAGGCGAGGACTCGCAGGGCTCCGCGAACTCCGATTGGCTGGGGCTGTCACTGGCAGATGTGCGACTCGACAGCGCCGAGATGCCGGCGTCAGAGAGGAGGCGGCTGGTGACTGCCTCGTTGTCCGTCGCCGCCGCTACGCTGCCGTTTCCCGTCGTCGGCACTTCCTCATTGGAATTGCCGCTCATTTTCTCCTCCTCGTTGCCGCCATCTTCGTCGTCATCTCATGAGCGGATCAAAACAGGCGTTTAACTTTGATGCCATTGGATTTTTTTTTCACAAAAATCTATTTTTTTAAAATAATTTCTCCCCGTTGCTTATTTAAAAAAAACAAAAAAACAAGTATATAAAAACTCCTGAAGCAGCTGAAAAATGATAAAAAAAAAAAAACATCCTGACAAATGAACATGGAATTGCTTCTGACCTGGTCCATCCTGCTGGCTGCTGGCCTGGATCTCTTCTTCAATGTCTGCTTCTGAGGACACGTCGTCGTCCTCCTCCTCTTCTTCATCCGACTGAACCCGATGAGACAAAACAAATGAGAAAATTTGCCATGGTGATGCAGTCGGTGGCCACGGAGCCCTCGTACCTCTTCGACGTGCCGCCGCGCCTTGTCTTTCTTGTCCGCGTTGTCCTGTTGGATGGCGTATTTGTTGATGACGTCCTCCAGGCGGTTCAGACCCAGCTCGCGGTTGTTCTCTAGCTTCCGGAGCAGCGTGGGGTCCTTCAGCGCCGGGTCGTTGTCTTTGGAGACGAAGACGAGGTAGCGAACGTTGTGATTTTCTTCCGCAAGACAAGTCGAGTCTTACCAGGATTGTATTCACTGGTAAGCTGGCAGCCAAAGTCGTAGAGCAGGTCGTGGTGGCGCCTCTGCTGGATTTTGCTGCCAGTGTCGGCGAAGGCCTTGCGGGCGATCCGCTCCAGCTCCTTGCTGCTCAGGCGTAGGTTGTGTCGCTTGCTGGCCAGCTGCACCTGCTGGAGGATGTCCTGGTAGTCGGGCGGGTTGAGACAGACATCGGGGCTGTTGATGTAGCGCTGGATCTGAAGGGACGACCAAACCATTGGGCGCTGTGCTTCTCAAACCGGAAAGCCCGGACCGCCGGGGTTCCACAAGTCACAGAAAATAGAAACCATTCCCACCTCTGCTTTGGGCTCATTCAAATCTTTGATTGGACCATGACATATTGTCACAAAAATAACACTCCCTTTTTATAAGCTGCATTTTGTCAGGATTACACATGCAAGTCCTGTTCCTTAAATGAAAAGTATTGTTTCAGGCTAAAAAGTGTCCTTTTACGAGAAAAAGTGTCTTATTCAATTTTACAGGTTAAAATGACTTTCTTCACTTGTTAAATGCAAGCTTAGCAAAGTTAACGAAAGCTAACCAACTAATAAAACAAAACAAAAAAAATTTAATTAATAATTTTCATGCACAAAACCTAAACGACAACTGAAACTACCCATAATGTCTTTCATTTTCATCTTTGTCAATCAACTATTTTTAATGTCATTACTTAATTATTATGTACGGCTGTAGAGAAAAAACTCCGAACGGTTGTTTGCGAACTGTAGTTTACTACATAACACTTAATGATGTTACATATCTTTTTTTTTTTTTAAGTTGCGCTCGACAAATATACCATACAAAACTAATACTAAAACTAATAAAAAAGAAACTAAAACCAAGCATTTTCGCAAAAATAAAACTTATTTAGAGATGAAAGTGAACTTTCCTCCAAATTCTGGAAAAAAATGTACGCACGCGTGCGTCTTTTGGTTTCAACCAATCAGCGCCAACGCAACCGACGTCACAGATCAAAGAAGCTTTGAGCTACGACAACAGCTAAGCTAAGCTAGCCGAGACGACACGACGCTCAAAGTCGGACGGACACGTTTTTCTGCTCATCTGTGTGTTTCCCTTTTTGTCCAAATATATATATTTCACTACAACAACTGTCCACGGCGTCTTTTATTCGTTCCACTGGGGTTTATAGCAAGTGTGTTTATAAAGAGACGATAATCTCTTTACTGTTACTAGTGTTCGTGCCTCAACATGGCTACGCTCGCGAAAGCAAAACAACGAACTCAAAACGCGTGTTCGTTCAATGTTGTCAACGAATATCCGGATTAATTTTTGGGCAATTTATGCTCAATTTTCCGGAGGGTTGTCAACTAATATCCGGATTAATTTTAGGCAATTTATGCTCAATTTTCCAGAGGGATTTTCATGAAAATGTTCAAATCCGGAGGACTTTCATCACTGCTTATGAAACAAAAAATACCAACATCAAAACAAAATAACATCGAACTAACGTGAAAAACCCCAAACTGTTAAAATGCTGGTTAAACGTTGACTATAGTACCACAATACCACTTTGTCATAAGAGGAGGAGTTGTTGTCGTTGCTCTTTTTTTTGTGTGTGTTTCCCAAGTGCTGTCAATGAGGAAAACACGCTCAGCTCATGAGTGACAATGACATCATCATCGTAATTTTATGAGTTTGGATGCGCACGACACACCCTCACCTTCCTGCTGATCTCAGGATAGCTAGTGTCGCTGTAGAGGATTTTGCGCTCGAGGATTCGCCCTGTCAGCGAGCTGCAGTCCTTCAGCTCGCACAGCTTGTTGTAGATCTTCATCATCTGGGTCCGCTGCAGGCGTCAGATCTCGTCGTCGTAGACTTTCAGCAGGTTCTCCAGATACGCAATCTGGAAGTGCAAGCACAGCAGGGAAGCCACTTCTTCGACTGGCTGACAACTTCCAGTGAAAAATATCCACCAATTTCTCACGCAGGTCAAAATTCGGAGACGTCAATGGGTAAAAATGACCGTGAAGTTTCAAATGGGAACACTTGCCCTTCAACTCAACTTAATTCACACAAATGATTTGAGATTAGTGAGAAGAGCAGTGCGGGCGATTGAATACATCACATACACTTACATTTATTTTTATTGATTGTGAATTGATTTTTTATGGAGGATTTCAGAGGCATTTGAAGTGACCCTTGCATGGTTTTTAGAATATTCTACGAAATGTCAACAACATGTCACATGTCTACTATTGAGGGGTTTTGGTTTGTTTTTTTTATCCTCGAGTATGTCGCCTTGTGCTCGCTCATGCAGGGTTCAGTGGGTCTCCTCATCGGTAACGAGTGTGGTTCTGGATCTGCTCCATATGTCAAGAGCCTTGCAACAACTTGTGCTCGATAAACAAATTTTAAATGGAGCTCAAATTGAAAACGGAGACACTAACCTGCTTCCTGGAGGCCCTGCTTGCCTTTTCCTCCACTTTCTGCTGGTCTTTCTGGAGACCCGAAGTAGAAGGCTTCTCGTCTTGGGCCGCCGGGTTTCCCCCTTGTACTTGCGCGCCTGTCTCGGCAGTCTGGCTTTCACTTTTTAACGAGGTAGAGTGAAGACAATCCGATGCGGAAGTAGAGGGGGTCTCAAGGTTCTTCTTCTTCCTGCTCCTGTCTTTGTGCTGCTTGAGCACCATGCACAGCTCATAGATGTAGACAAATACCCTGGAACGCTTGGCCTCCAGGCGGGTCAAACATCGGCCCAAACTGTTACGGAACTCCACTGACGACAGGTAGTCTGTACGGGCTTTGGCGTGGTTCATCTTCAGGTATTCCAACACCTGAGGGCAGTCCTGGGTCACGGCCACGACGTGCTCCATAAACTGAAGGGAGGCAGGAAACAGACAACACAAACATCAGGGAACGAGACATCTATGGCAGCACCCTGGCGGCAAGGACATGTGGACACTGAAGACCTGCACCAGTTTTTCCAGCTCTAAAAGTCTGCTTTTGTCCTGAACTTTAATGCTGTCAAATAGACATATCAATAAATAAATGAACAAAGCGAGAGAGGTATTCAATTTCCCCAGTGTGGGACAAATAAAGGATATCTAATCTAATCTAATCATTCGCAACTGCTTTCACTACTGTCTCTTGGAGATGTCCACGTCCATAGTCCTGCAAGACTATCAAACAAAAACATCCGGTCTCATGAGGATTGTGCTGGTGTGCCTAAAGAAGTGTTTACAGAGCGACTGCGCCACGACCTCAGAGAACAACTTGTGATTCTCCGCCTGCAGAACGTGCTTGTTCTTGCTGGCCGAAGCGAAAGGCGACTGGGTGACGTGGGTTGGGGTGGTCAACTGTACTCGGCGGGGCGAGGACGACGAGGCCAAAGTTGAGGACGGCGGCCGAGGGACGTCCTCTTCATCCACGACGATGACGTCTGCCATGTTGGGGGATGCTTCTTTGAGAAACCAAATATAAAGAGGAATTGGAACATAACATAGACAAGTATGACCATCTTTTGATGTCACAGAGAGCATCGTCTTCTATTCAAGGTTTCTTCCTGAGAGGGACTTTTTCCTTGCCTCTGGCGCCAAACACTTACTCATGGGCATTTTAGACAGTTTTCATACGGTATATACATATTGTGTAATAGCACTATGTAAATACTATTGATCCACACAAAAGACGAGTAACGAGGGGACTTGTAGACGTTGTTCTGTAATCAATAAGGACAGTAATATATAGCGATCACAAAGTGACTTTTGTTGACTCAGCGAGGCTCATTCTAAAAGTCCTCAAAGAGGGAGCATGTAGGCTATTTCACAAATTTATTTTTGCCATTGAAAACGTCGGAGACGTCGTTCGAGCACGCCAACGAAGCTGAGAAGGGAAAGAAGGAAGTTAATAAAGCTACACACAGGACACAACGCGAGCACAAAGGCCCTCTTTTTTAACACAATGACAAATAAATGAAGTAAAAATACGACCAACATTTTGACGTATACCAACCTGTTAGGGCGAGATGATATTCAGGACGGGACCTCGACCCCCACCGGGCATTGTCCAAAAACTGCCCCACGTTAGCTTACGTTAGCATGAGCGCCCTAGTTAGCGCGCGACTTCACGCGGAGTAATAAGATCGTCGCAAACTTGCCGGGATTTGAAAAAAAAAACTGATAAATTCTAGTCTCGTCGAGAACCCGGTGCTATCTAACAAGATGATATGTCTCGGTTCCGGGATTTTTATATCCATCGAAACAACATTAAAAAGAAAAAAAATTCTAGACGATGAAAGATCGTCTTCAACGAGCAGTCGGCGTATAGCATAAGTTGTGCACCAGCGCCACCCTCTGTACCGGAGGGTAACTTGTTGTGTGCTTCTACAATGAAAATACGTTTCCAAGAACGTACGTTGAACCCTTGGAATGTCACGGAACAGCACACAAACAGAATAGTCTCTTTAAAATCATTTCACACAATTAATTCGATGCTTTGATTGGGCACACTATAAAGAAAGGTGACAAACTCAACGCCTGTCAGCGCACCACATCTTTTTTTTTGTCTCTTGCATGATTCTTGCTCATTGGATTACTTCTTGAAATTGTGGCGAAAAATGTGCCGCAAAATTGCAAACTTTCTTCCGTGGCTTGCACAAAAATCACTTAATCACCCTGCAAGATGCTGGAAAAGGTTTCAAAGGGTATCACTGAATGTTCACCAGTTCCTGGGTAAAACCCAGTCGTCTTTAAATGACTAGAATTAAGCACTCTTGCTACTCTCACAAAAAGTTGCCGTTCTGTAAAACAGACTGCAAGAAGAGCACAGTGCAGAACACTCAATGAGGTGACGGACGAAGAATCCTAGTGTGTCGGTTACAGACTTTCTCTCTGGCAAATGATAACATCTCTGTGGACAAATCTTCGATACGTTCAACATTTACAGCACGCGGGACATTGGGCTGTTTGGATGGAAGAAACCCTCACACGGGCACACACGAATGATACATATGAAGGAAAAAAGCAAAATGATTTTTTTTAAACTTACTCATGATACAAACGTTTCGATCCAAACTGAAGTCTGATCTCGTCCTTTATTAATTCAAAGTCCCACATCCAGGTCAATGATTATCAACAGAAGGACAGCAATAAATTGAGTTTGATGTACCGTGAGTTCAGAATCTTATTTTATTTTTGTGACACTTAAATTAAAAGCAATATCACAATAAACAAACATGTATTAGATAAAATAAACAAACCTGGCAACTTTCTCGAGCACTCATTTGAGCTCAAACGCGTTATTCTACTTTGCTGTTGTACATTTCAAATCCTCAAAACACACAGCAATGTTCGTGATTAAAATCAGAGACTAGCAGAAAAGACTTCATTTTTCACTTTTGTATTTTACAAAACAAAGTCTTGTTGGTTGTCACAATGACAATAAGGTGTAACAAGGAAAGGAAAGTAAGTCAAATGTATTGAAACGCACAACGGTGTTTGGATTTTCCAGTGTCACGCCACAAATCGGCAAAGCCTCTTCACTTCTCTTTCTGCAGAGAGTTCAACGTTAAGAGTTCAAATACGGACAAAACATTTGGCTTGACATTTTGTTTGAGAAAGAACCTCACCTTGTCGGTTTCCTCTGCGTCAGTTGAACCTACAGAAAACGATAAAAGACATTCACTTTGAGGCCAAGGCTTGCATAAGCGTAACTACGTTCTTTTTTGTTTTGCTCTTGGTGGCTGCCTCAAAGGTGCAAAGGGTAACTTGGCAAAACATTGGCAAGGAGACTTCACCCTACATGCACATTAGATGAGCAAATTTTGGCCACCTGAGGGGAGGAAGGTCCAAGAGACGAACTTGATGAAGCCGTAGAGCACCAGGGCCACGCCCACCATCGCCATGGAGTCTTCGATGGAGGGTGTGCTGAAACCTGAGAGGACAAGAGTCATTTTTGGACTACATCCGAAACAGGCTGATCTGATCAAAAAAATACATTTTTAAAAAATCCGGATTTATAGAGGAAACGTTCCATAATATTACCGATGACTCTGAGGGCCACGCTGGCACGCCGCGTACCTCCGGAATGCTCGGCGACACAGGTGAGCTCCCCCCCGCCGCCCAGCTCCGGATCAGACGTGTCGAGCTCCAACCGGGTGTCCTGGCTGTAGGTGCCGTCCC